AGGAAAAGAAAGAAATGTTACATTAATTGGTGAATTGTTGGAAAAAGAGGCGGCTTTTTGGGAGCGCAAAGAGGCGTGGAGAGGAAGGGAAGAGAAAGGAACGGAAGCGAAGAAAAAGAATCCAATCAAAATGCGCTGTGTGGACCCCAACAATGTTTGCAGTTTCTACGTCTGATTCAGCAAATCGTACGGTCCTTGTCAGCGTCGGTTCTGGCTGTCTTTGGATTTAACCTTTCCATTTTCTTTCTTTCTTTCTTTCTTTCTTTCTCCTCCCATCCTGGGGAATCGTGGGCTCCACATCATCTCAGGCATCACCCATCCATCACCCATTTTCTCTGTGATGCTGTGGCGTAATAATATTTTACTAGCATAAATTAACTTTTTCCTTAATTTCTTTAAGCTCATAATTAACATTTGAAAGATGGTTTTATTTGAAAGTCAGTAGGAAACAGTTTGAGAAAATTTTTTTTATATAATTTATTAATGAAGGTATTAATAAAAAAATGAAAGTTATATTTATTATTTAGTATAATAATTTAAAATTAACGATTAATAATTATATTTAATTTAATATATAAAAATATTTAAATTATTAATAATATCAATAATAATCCGTTAAATTGAGTGAAATCAGTAGCTATTAAGTTCAAAGTGTTATACTAAACAACATCTAGTTATAGTTTTCGATTTTTAATTTTAATTTTTATAAGTTTTATAATTATCGATAATTAAATTTAAAAATTTATTCAAAATAAATTTAAACTTTGACAAATAAAAGTATTTACATATTTGATAATATTAAAATTATTTTTATTTTTATTTTAAAGATAATCATAATTATATGTTGTAAAAATATGTAAAAGTAAACAATTTATTTGTTCAAAGTTGTAAAATTTATCAAAACTAAAATAAATAAAAAAAAAACCCAAAATCATAATTATATTAAAAAAAATCTATATTAGTTTTTTGATGACCTAAGAACACATATTAAAAATATATTTTATTATTTTTTTGTTAATTGTTATATAAAAATTAAAAATTAACTTTAATATTATCAATTACTTAATTAAACTAACACACGTATCATCAAAGATTAGAAATAAAATTAATTTTTATATTTTTTTAATATAAATTAATAAAAAAAAATATTAAACAAACCCTTAAATATAACTTGTACATTGTAAATAGAAATTTGGCAAAACCATAAGTTAAGCACCTGAACTAATCCCAAAATCACTATTAAGCCCCTAGACTTTAATTGATGCAGTTAAGCCCTTGAACTCTGGGATCAAAGCAATTAAGCCCTTCTTCTGATGCTATTAAGCCCCTAGACTTTAATTTTTAAAATAAATTGCTTAAGAAGAAGGGCTTAATTGCTTTGATCCCAGAGTTCAAGGGCTTAACTGCATCAATAAAAGTCTAGGGGCTTAATAGCGATTCTGGGCTTAGTTCAGGGACTTAACTTATGGTTTTGCCTAGAAATTTCAGGTAAAAGCTTGATTCCTAGAAAAATTTGAATAAAACTAGGTGTGACTGTCAAGGTGAGGTGGGAGTGACGGGGAAACGTGGGGAGAGTTTCTTTTCTTCTTCCTTCCCGTTCGGCCTCACCTCACCCATCCATCTGCGCCTCGCCGCATTTTGGGTGTGGAGCCCACGGAACTTTCTCAGTTCTCACACCACTTTAATATGGGTCCCACAACGCGCACTTGTGTTGGCTCCTGATAATTTGACCCGCTTGCTTATCCCGTGCCACATATCAACGAGATCCAATTCTTTTTTAAATTTTAACATCCAGCTGGTTGTCATTGTTTTTTTTGAAAATAGGTAATAAAAGCTGGTTGTCATTGTTGGATACTTAGAGATGGTGCGGTTCTTCTTACCATTAATTTTTAATTAATTTAAATATATTAATTAATAATTATTTTATTAATTACATTAAATAAAATTAATATTTTTAAATAAAATATTTTTTAATTTTAATAATCATGAATTATTATTCTAGATTACAACTGTACCTACTTAGGAATGAGAAATAATGAAAAAATTTATTTTATGCCGTATTA